ACAAAAAGGACAAAAAAAAAAAAAAAAGAATGGGGAAAAGAGATGAGAGATGAGAACATACAAGGGGTTTCCAAAAAGTTCATGATAACGGCCGGCCCGGTGGCGCACTGCTACAGTGCGCTGCTTGGGAGTGTGGTAGCGCTCCCGCCGAGGGTTCGGATCCCACATACAGACCGGTTCCCGCTCACTGGCTGAGCGAGGTGTGGGAGCAACACCGAGGGTTGCGATCCCGTTGCCGGACATGAAAAAAGACAAAAAGGAAAAAAAAAAAAGTTCATGATAAGGTTTGTATAATCTTCTAACTCGATTTTTCCACTAACTTTTGAAGTACTGTCATATAGTCAGCAAATATACATTACTCTTGACTATGGGGAAAATTAAAAGAACAAGAATATCTAGAGAAGAACGTAGGGTTCAGGGAAGGGGCTTTTGTGTATGTGTGTTTTTGTTTTGCCTTTTTAAAAGATTATGTCTATATGCTGAGGAGGATAGCCAGTAGACATGAAAAGTTTCAAGATGAATATTGTATGCTAAGAATATAAAGAGAAATAGGTAGAAAACTTGAGAATGGTAAATATTTAGAATAGGTATTATGGAGACTAGGAGAAGATACTAGCCCTAGAGTCTGGTAGGAGCGTTGGGAAGTAGCGAGAGCCTGCTGAGATTAGAGGTTTATAGTTTTTTTTTTTGTCTTTTTCGTGACCAGTAAGGGGATCGCAACCCTTGGTGTGGTGTCGCCCACACCATGCTCAGCCAGTTAGCACACCGCCATCCCTATATAGGGTCCGAACCCGCGGTGGGAGCATTGCTTCGCTCCCAGCGCCACACTCTCCCGAGTGCGCCATGGGCTCCGCCCGAAGTTTATAGTTTAAACATTTATACAGAAAATTATATATACAGATGGTTTTATGTGGAAGTGCTATGAAATCTTCAAAGAACAAATCAAAGATAATCCCTCTTTTATACACTTTGTTCCAAGAAATAGAAAAAGAAGGAAAAGTTCACAACTTGTTTTGTGAAGCTAGTGTAAACTTTGAAACCAAAATCAGACAAGGACAGTATAAAAAAAGTAAATTATAGGCCAATTTTATATAAAGACATAAATGCAAAAGTCATAAAATATTCACACCAGAGGTTTTATTTATACACACACACACACACACACACACATGCAGTTACTTAAAAATTTAATGGAAAGATTCATATTGTCTTTTAATTTTTCCATGAACTTTTCAAAGTACCCTCATATATGGCCAAAAGTGTTTATCCCAAGGATACCAGAATGGTTTAACATTAGAAAATATACATTGCTGGTAACAGCAAGGTCCAGGGTTTGGATCCCCATACTCGCCAACCCCCCCCCAAAAAAACCCATAATTTACTACAACTGATTAAGAAAATGAGAGAAAATCTATATGATCCTTCCAGTCATTGCAGGAAAACTACTTGATAA